CGGTGCGGTGTTGATCGCTCGCTCTGCGCGCCCCCATCCAGGCTGGACAGCTGCTTGGCTGCATATATGCATGGCATGGCATGGCATGGCCTCTTTCCGCCTGCCTCGCCCACTGAAATCACATGTCACATGCACACTCACCACTCACCACTCACCACTCACCGCTGGTCCACATGCTGACACGCTCAACCGCAACTGCAACCGCAACCTAAGAGCAAACCCGTCCTCCTGTCCCTCTCGCGTATCACCATCAGTGCACCAAGCATGGCAGCTGCAGCGTCGGGATTGGGTGTGGGTGCAGCAGGATCAACGGATGTGGCGCTTGGTGGGGGTGGCAGTGGCAGTGGCAGTGGCAGTGGCAATCAAAGCGTGGTGGACCTCTCGCTGGATCTGCTTCGACGTTTGCCTCCCTCTGACATTTCCCAAAACCTGTCCAAACTGCTATCCACCTGTCCCAACTCGCTGTCAGAGGATCTCATCGGCTCGGTGGATGAGCCGCCGGTGGTCAAGGTGGATGACAGTCCAGAAGGTGCGGGCAGGGAGTTTCTGGCTTGCGATTACAATCGCGATGGCGACTCTTGGCGCAGTCCCTGGAGCAATAGGTTCTTGCCAGAGGAGCTGGAGGATGGCACTCGACCCAGTCAACGTCTAAGGCAGCTGGAAGAGAAGGCCATGGAAGCATTCAGCACGTACAGGCAGCTGTGCGTAGTCAGTCGCCTTGAAGCGGGCATGGTGGTGCAGCTCTGTTTCCCTTGCCGTTGTGCGCGCGCGCACACACGCACACACACACACACACACTCACTCACTCACTCACTCACTCACCTCTCCATCGCGCGCAGGTATTACGAGTCTGGCATCTCCTCTTGCTACTTTTGGGATCTGGACGATTCAAACTTTGCGGGCGCCATCGTCATCAGATCTCAGCTCTCTGCAGGCAGGGTGCAGGGCTCGTGGAATTCGCTGCACGTGTTCGAAGCGACGGAATTGGGTGTCAAGAGCGTGAGCTACAAGTTGACCAGCACCGTCATGCTCAGCTTCGACGTCAAGCAGCAGCAGAACGACAAGGAAGGCAGCGCAGCGGTTGGGGACGGGAGTGGGAATGGAAAGGAACAGCAAAAGAAGGGCAACATGAACTTGAGCGGAAGCCTAACTAGGCAGGTGAGTTGGCACCCGTACGCTCCTCCTCCTCCCCATTTGCCTCGGGTACTGTGGGTCTCCATCCATGCTTTCTGTCTGCTCATCTTGTGCTTTCCACCCTTCCCCAGTCGGAAGAGAAGTTGCCCCTTCCGGATTACGCGTCGCACATTGCCAACCTGGGCAAAATGGTAGAGGAGATGGAAGCCAAGCAGAGAAATTTATTGCAGGTGAGCTGCTCCCTCGCCTCCATCGAAATCTCCCTTTTTCTCGAGGCGCTGTTGACCTCGCCGCCCGCATGTCCGGCTCGTCCCACACCACCAGACTGTCTACTTTGGCAAGACTCTCGACGTGCTCAACTCTGTTCGAAGTCCGGAGTCCCTAGACGCGAAGCGCAAAGAGAGGGAGCTACAAAAGGAGCTCATGGGGCTGTGGAAGAGGCCTGGAGTGGAATCATGAAGGTGCCATCAGGACGACTTGACTTTTGCTGGTGGAGCGCCTTTCGCTGCAAGCTTTGGCGATTCTGTCTCTGAAATCACGCCAAAGCAAACTATTTGTTACGCCACGGCGTTTCCTCACAAAATGCGCACTGACCTCAACTCACCTAGTCCATTTGTCTCTGTCAATGTAGGGTGTTGCAATTGCAATCCTTTGGTCAACATACAATGCAACGCTGACGAGCGGATTGCGGCGCCAATCGACACAACTCTTTTCCAACCGAGAAGGTCGTCATGTCCTTTCGCACGCATGGGCTTGACCTACTTTGGTGCCTCTGGGGGAGGTGTAGTGTGGCGCGTCCTGTAGGTGACGAGGCTGTGCGAGAATGTAGGACGAGTGGTTTCAGGTAGAGTATGATCGGTGCACCCCTATGCACGTCGGCTCAAGATGCTTGCAGCAACCTCGGAGGCGATGGACTGCCCAATGGTGCCGAAAGCTCCTCAGCTAGAAGTGTGCGATACCTTGCGCTTGATCATGTGCAACTGGATGAGCGCAGTGAGCTTCGCCAGACTCGTGTAGACGAGCAGAGATTGTAGTGCATAATACCACACATCGCGCTCTTTGCGAGGTTTTCGATTGTGGCAGCATTTGCCAGATTGCACCTACTGACTGCTACGACGAGAAGCGTGCTAGCTGGAGAATGTCGAG